CAACAGTTTTACTACGGTAACGTCCATCACATCCTCTCCTCCACTTAGCGAGAACGTGACAATGTTTATTTCATTGTTAATCTGACAGTGTCTGCAAATGTTTCCACTACCAACATAATGGAAAATTCATTCGTCAATTGTGTTTTCATCACTATGTACAACACGTAAAGACAATTTAGAATTACTTAATATCACAGAGGAAAATAAACATTAATGACGTCAAGAAATCATCCGTTCTTATGTGCGTAAAGAGGAGAGGAGAAGAGTACGAGATGTGAGGGAGTAGAGGCTGAGAATGTGACGCGATATCGCATCGAATAGACAAGAGGCACCGCAACAGAAGAAAGCATAGAAAGCTCGCAAAATAAAGTGATTGATAAAGCGCTCGAAAGTCATAAGGCAAGGCGGAGCATCGACGGCGTACTCAAGGGATCTATATGATGCCAGTGTGGGTTTTAACACGGATTTCAAGGTCCTGAACAGAGGAAGTTCTTCATGGCTGCCCTATGTGTACATTTGGATGCCGCAAAATGCAACAAACTGGAAAGGACATGTTCTGTTGTTTATAGGGTATCTACCATTCATATTAAACTCTGCGACCCATAGGGACCATTTGGAGATTTTCAAAATCCCAAAATAACAGAAGAAAAGAGAGTAAGAAGCCTAACGATAGAATTGGACAGAAAGAACCATACATGATATGCAGAATATTAAGGCATTTTCCACAGATATTAAAGCACCCATGTGATTAGCATTAATGTCTACAAGGCTAGACGTAATAACAAAATATAGCACATTTTTGAGGAGATGATTTCTTCATGGAAGCATTCGAAGAAATCCTGCTGATCGTCCAAATCGTGGACGAACAAATGAGTCCATTTGTGCTAGTATATGCTCAATTCTCATCCCACCATCTCGCTCGTGACGACGACGCTTGTGTCTGCAATTGCGGATTTTGTAGATGAGTTCTAAAATTGAGAGTTTAGGTTAGTGTTAGCACCTATGATGGCGATGCTTTGTTGGACGATGGGCATTTTTCCATTCGTAGAGTGTTCTCTTATGAAGACGCTCAAGGCGACCACCTTTTCTCACCATAAACCTGAAATTGAATGATTTTCATTGAGATGAAAAAATTCAAAAGATAAAACAAGGAATCTTGGTTGCTTATATAATCTGAGTACAGAGTAACGTAATTTCGATAGAAAAAGGGTCAATCACAAACAGATTTTTCCCTGGAGCAAGTAGCGATACAAGAGCATAAGTATGCTTGTACACAATAATGTCGAAAAATTTACTAATTTTCCAAAATTAGAGCAAAACCTAGAGTTGTGAACTTCTAGCATCACGAATATAATTAAAAATTGTGTAATCTTACCTGTCACGGCTGAAACCAGCCTCGGAGGTTATCGCCAATAAAAATAACAAAAACAGAAGTAGTGCAGCTCGCAAGATCATTATTATCTTGTTGTATCTGCAAGATATAATTGGTGGTTTTAGGATCTCTATACGTATGTATGACGAGACATGTTGATTACGGTATCGGCGCCAAGACCCATACATAAAAAGAGCGAGGGTGTACGAGATTGTAAGAGAAAAACGCACGATGATAGGGGGGTTCGCATCCACTTTGGCGAACTC